CCACTCAAATAGCCATCATGCTGGTTCAGGCCCTTATCACTTCTCACTTAATCTATTGTAATTGCCTCCTAACTGATCTCCACTCTCCATTTTCTCCCCTCTCAAGCACAGGTCTGATCATGTTAGTTGCCTGCTCAAAAAGCTCCAATAATTCCCTATTGTCTCTGAGAAAACAAATATGCAAGGTCTTCTCTTTGGCATTTAAAAAAACCATTGTACAATCCGGCTCCAGCTCACCTTTCCAGGCTTCTTGTACATCACTCTCCTTCATGCACCCTTTGCTCTAGCCAAAGTGTTCTCTTTGCTGTGGACACCACAGGGCATCTCTCATCTTCCTGTTTCAGTACAGGTTGTTTCTCATGCTTGGAATGTATTCTCTACCTCTATCTCTTAGAATCTCTAATTTCCTTTAAGGCTCAGCTAATGTGTCACTTCCTGTACAAAGTATTTCCTTATCTCCCCTAGTTGTTAGTGCTCTCTTTCCCCCAAATTACTTTTTTTTATTTCATATTTTTTATTTACCTAACTTCATACCAGGTGTTTTCTGTGATAGGATGTAAGCACCTCGAGGTCAGGGACTTTCCTTTTTGCTTTTGTATCCCTAGAGACTAGCAATGTGCCTTGTGTATACTGTACTAGATACATACCAGTTGGATGAATGAATGAATAAATGGATTAAATTTGGATTGGCAGAGATGAAAAGAGACAGCATAAACAAAGATGTAGTATTATGTTTGTGTTATGCTACATAGAGATTTTTGGGTAAAGTGGGGAGTACCTGCAAGGAAGTAGGGGAAGACTAGGCTGGAAAAGCCAGACTGTGGAAACTCTTGAGCGTCAGGTTCAGGAGTTTGGAATTGATCCCAAAGGAAATGAGTAGACATTGATATTTTAACTCCATCTAATCATCCTACCTAGGCACCACTTCATCATGCCCAAAGAAACCCAAACAACACCACTCCCAATACTTATCTTCAGAGCCTAAGATAGCTTCTGGAAAAGTTTGGATTTTACCTGGTTTTTCAGTGGTAAAAGTGGTTTTTCAAAAGGAAAAAGTAATTTTTATGCAAGTATCAAAAAATATCTATTATGACAAAACAAAACTCTTCCTTTTGTTTTTTTTTTTCTGAAATTCAAGTTAAACCCACAAAGCTATTGGATGTTTATAAAAACCTGTCATGAACAAGGATTCTTTATTAGATCCTACAGAGCTATGGATTGCTTTGCAAGACTCATCTATAATAATTAAACCTGTTCTGTTCTGGCCTCCCAAGGTGACTGTGGCTTTCCTTTAGGAGGATTGGTTCCAATTACTTGTAGCACTATTTGAACCAATCCTGGATAAGCTAACATGGTCAAATTGTTTCATGTATTTGTAAACCCTTAAAACAATTCTTTTGGCCTCACTTTCAGAATGTTTAGAATAGATCCTTTAAAAAAAACAACCCTATTATCTTAAGGGTTCTTCTGATTTTTAGAATGTTTTTGTGCGATGATCAATGATTTTTTAATTTGACAAATAAACAAACAATGACTACCTGGTAGGTTAAGTAAGAAATTAAGACATTAGTCAAATTAGCTCTTTGTGCCAGCCAACTCAGGAGTTTTACTGACTTGCTCTCTGTTTCAATACTTTTTAAAAATTTTAATTTTTAATGATTTTAAAAAATTTTTATATCACTTTGATTTCTTAATATATTCCTGCCTTCCTTTGCACCAAGAGCGGAAAAAAGCATTCAAGCAAAACTAATCAATGCAATCATTTAGTCTTATATACACCATTTTACTCCTTGCCCCCAAGTTTTGTAGAGAAGGGAGGGAGATGTACTCATAGCTTTTTCGGGGGGTCAGACTTAGCCATTAAAAATAACAATGATAATAATTAGCACTTATACAATGCTTTAATGTTTGCAAAGAATTTTGTTTACATTATCTCTTTTGCTCTTCACAACAGGCTAATGAAGTAGTAGATGTTATTGTTATCTTTATTTTAATAACAAGGAAACTGAGGCTATGCAGTATAGCACAACTAATAAATACATGAGACAGAATTTGAACTCATGTCTTCATGACTCCAAATCCAGCACCTAACTACCCCATTATAATTACATAATGTTCAGTTTCAGTTTGTTATTCTTTCCCTTTACCTTATTGCAGTTATTGCATTTATAATTCTCCTGGTTCTTCTTGCATTGCTTTGCATCAGTTCAAAAAAGTATTCCCATTTCTCCTTGTATTTTTCATGTATGTAACTTCTTATGGCACAGTACTACAATTTATTTAACCATCCCTCAGATCAGTGGGCTCAGTGGTTATGTTGATGCAATATAAATATAGCCTCAAGAGCACAAAGATCCAGGTCTTCCCAGAACTTAACTTTGTAAGGATGATCCAAAAAGTTTCCTTGATAGTGATGGTCATGAAACCCCTGAAAAGACTGAGGAATCTCCTCATCAAGATCTCATTAAGAATAGGGCCAATACCTTTTGAACCACAGACTTCATTACTTGGTTTATACCTCAAGGAAGTAATTGATTAGAAGAAAGCCCTCATATACTCCAAAATATTTATACTAGCACTTTTGGCAATAGCTAAGTAGTGGAAGCAAAGTAGATGCTCATCAGTTGGGGAATGGCTAAACAAATTGTGGTGCATGAACGCAATGGAATATTACTGTGCTGTAAGAAATGATGTATTGTGATGAATACAGAGAAGCATGGAAAGCTCTATATGAAATGATGCAGAGTGAAGTAAGCAGAGCCAAGAAAACAACATACACAGTGACTATAACAATGTAAAAAGAAAGAACAATTACACACCAAAAAATCACAAGTAAATATAACAAAATTATAAAGATCAAGCAGGACTCAAAATGAAGAGATATGAGAAGACACTCCAAACCTCTGTGGAGGTGGGAGGTCCACTGGTGCTACACATTGCACATGTTTTTGGACTTTTTCACTATATTGATCAGTTGTGCAGATTGTTTTTTTCCTTTCTAAAAAGAAACTATTTGTCATGTAGAATGGCTCTCTGGGAGTGAGAGAGAGCCTTGTGATAACCATGGTGATATAAGAAACAGAAAGTATCAATAAAAAATTATTTAAAAAAAGGATGGGGCCAACAGCTCTCTATGTTGCCTAGTTGAAAGGAGAGCTCTTAGTGTCCTTTTATAGATCCTCTGTTTCAGTGGCAAAGTGACATACTAGATAGAGATCTAGAGACTTTAAAAAAACATTTATTTTTTCTATGTTGTTGTTCAGTCATTTTTCAATCATGTCCAACTCTTCACGACTTCATTTAGGCTTTTTTTTTTTGAGGGGGGCAAGATACTGAAGTGGTTTGCCATTTCCTTCTGCGGCTCATTTTACAGATGAGGTAACTGAGGCAAACAGAGTTAAGTGACTTGCCCAGGGTCACACAGCTACTAAGTGTCTAAGGCCAGATTTGAACTTAGAAAGATGAGTCTTCCTGACTAGCCATTGTGCCACCTAGCTGCACTCCCCCCACCTTAAAATAGTATTTTGTTAAGGATAGAAATCTACAAGGTTCTATAATCTATGTGCAATGTTTCACAACGAAGTACCTTACATATTTTTGTTTCCTACTATACTGTACTGTAAGGTCACCACAGCTTGCATGTACACTTATAGAATCTTTATGCATCTTAGGAAGAGAGAGACAGGGAAGCAGCAAAAAAGGAAAACTCTGGAGTTAGAAAGTGCATCTCCTTAGGGAGAGGAAGTTCTGCCACAGAATATGATACTTTTGCTTTTATAGTTCCAGCCCTCAGAATCAGGAAGATCTGAGTTCAGGTCCACCTCTAGCTATGTGACCCTGGGCAAGTCACTTGATCTCTCAATTCCTGGTAACTCTGATACTGTAAGTTGAAGAGCAGATAGGTTCTGATCTGCCTTGGCAGGCAATTTTTTTTTCACTAGCATTTTTATATACCAATGAATAATAATATGTAGCATTTATGTAGCACTTTAAGGATTGAAAACCACTTTTCAGATTTTTGATCATCACACCAACCCTGTGAGATAGATGCTATTATTACCCCCTTTTTTTTAGATTAGGAAACTGAGGCTAAGAGGGATTAAGTGACTTTCCCAGGGTTACATAGCTAGCATGTGTTTCAGTCAGGATTTGAACTCAAGTCTTCCTGACTCCATATCCAGCATTCTCTCTATCCCCTACACCAGTTAGTTGACATCACAGGTGCAGATGAAAAAGAAACAAATAAACTAGTTAATCCTGAGGTGACAAATGTGGTATCTCTTTCAGGGAGGCTAGTCTCAGCAGCAGTGACAGTGCAAAAAAAATATTAAAACTAGCGACCTATTTTTTGCTTTTTTTTAACCCCCCTACCCTAATTTAAGGATAGCCAATGAATAAAATACCAAATGTCTTAAAAATATATTTTAATTCCCTCATGTCTATCTGTCAGGTTTCCAGTTGAAGATTGGACTTAAAAGTTGGGTCAAAACAATTAGCTCCCAACCCACCCCTTTAGCAGTTTTCAGCTTCACATAAACATAACAGGAATCCTAACCAGATTTGAAACCTTAGCATTCAGGACCATACTGATCAAATACAGCTTAATGCAGGTCAGATCTTGGATTTAGAGTGGAGGTATTCCAGTTAATATTCACTCATTATTCCACTCAATTGCATTCCATTCCATTCCATTCCATTCCATTCCATTCCATTCCATTCCATTCCATTCCATTCCATTTCCATTCCATGCCACTCAATCCCACTCATATTCAACTCAAAAGCAGAAAGTGACTCTTCAAGTTTGTTAGACTGTTCATCTTATAAACCATGACCTCCCCGTTCTTACCAATGACCAAGCATTCTAGATTTACCCCAACCAAAATAAGAGGGTCATCCGTATTGAAGGTCTATTTATTTTGTGGGCAATAAATTTTAGTTCAGAAGCTCGGACTGAAAGTTTACCCATCCTGTTCTAAATAAATGCTGTCTTTCCTTCTCAGACAAGATCTTGGTCAAACAGTCACCTTGGCTTATATCTGATAATCATGGAGTGGCAACCCTTGCCTGTAACTACATCTATGATAAAACACCAACTGAATTTCGAGCTTCGCTCCAAAAGGGAACGAACAGTGCCCTTGAAGTCTGTTTTGTGTACGTAAATGGAACCCACAAACCCTTGCTTTCCTCAGCTGAGGACTTCAACTGCTCCGTGAATTTCAATAACAAAACAGTGAAGTTCCAACTCCAGAATATGAGTGTCAACCAAACGGATATTTACTTCTGTAAAATAGAATTCATGTATCCTCCTCCATATCTCTCCAATGAAAAGACTAATGGAACCATCATCTATGTGAAAGGTATAACATAGCTCTGAAAGAGTAATTCAATATTCTTATGTCAGCCTAGGTATCCTCAAAGGGAGAATGCTGGCCTCTTTTTGATTGAGGAATTGGGCAAAAAGAAGAATGAGCTCTATTTGTGTTTATTCCACTGACTTGGGCCCTTAACCTTCCTCTACCAGCCTCTTCCTTTGCAGAAATACCTTCCACTGAGATGTGGAAAAAGACTCTGGTCTATGAATCAGAACACCTCTATTTTAGTGGGTAATAGTTGTGTGACTTCTGCAAGTAATGTATAGCCATTCTGGGCTTCAGTTTCCTTGGTTATTAAATAAAGGGATTAGCCTAGATGGTCTCTAAGGCTTCTGTCTTACAAATTTCAATGACATTTTGAATGGTACAGAGCTTAACTGGAATGTCTACTCAAAAGGAATGGTATAGTGTAATGGAAAGAGCATGCATTAAAATTCCACCGTTGGCTTGGGTGATAACTAGCCATGTGATATTGGATGAGACACTTAATCTCTCTGCATCTCAGTTGCTTCATCTATAAATGAAGCCAATGAAATGAATGATTGCTAGGGTTGGTTTCTTGATGGGAATAAAATAAATCAGTTTCTGAGACTTTAGATTCTGAAAGAACGCTGGACTTGGAATCAGGAGACAGGTTCAAATCCTAGTTCTGACATTTGTTAACTATATGATCATTGGGCAAATCATTTAATTCTACTGAGCCTCAGTTTTCCCATTTTTAAAGTGGGGATAATAATAATACTTGCACTACCTACTACTCAAGGTTGTATAGAATTAGGATTATGAACCTTTTAATGCTGTATAAATGTGGGCTATGATTATTTGCCATGCATTTTAAAGATGTAGACCCCTTCTTTTCAGAACTCTAATTAAGGAAAATCAATATCATATTTTGCTGTTTCTCAGTATTGTGCCTGTAGACATTATTTCAATTTTAGCTTTATTTTTCTCCTCTATCAATGATGAGATGTTGTTGGAACAGATAGTAACCTGGACAAGGGGGCTTTATTGCCTTTGTCTGGTAGAGTAATTTTGGTGATTGAAAACAAACAAAATACAATCAAATAACATGCAAGTATTTAATTTATTGAGTCCTGTTGAAGTTTTAAACATCATTTTCTTATTATTGCCTAGTTATACGTAAGGAATGTTACAGTAAAAAATAATTGTTTGGCTTTTACATATGAAATCATGCCCTAACACCATTAATTGGTTCTGAGAAAGCATGGGATTAGATGACACAATATTACATGGGGTGCTTAGTGTCCTAGGAAACAATATCTTGGCCAATTGATCAAATGGCATTTCAGTAGGAGTTTTATGATGTTATTCTGGAATTTGATTACGATGTATTAATAACATAATAGCAAAATAATATGGGTATGGGTACCATTTTGGATGGTGTGCCTTTACCACTAATACAGAAGTTCTTAATATATGCCTCTAAACCAGCGATACAGTAAAATACAAAATTAAAACTAAAAGATGAAGAGGAATACCAGACAGAAGCTTAACATTTTAAGAACTCATCCCACCTGGATAAGATACATTGTGTTCACCTTATCTTATTTCTAAATTAAACATTTTAGAGACTTTCAAGTCCAGTTCAATCAGTTTTAAGAGAGGAACTAAGGCTTAATTAGAGATAAAATGACTTGTCCAAGGTTACATGGTGAATAAGTGACAGAACAAGGGTTTGTACTCTTGTTCCCATGGAGATATTTCAGAATTGGAGAAAGAAATGGCAGAACACTCCAGCTTCTTTGCTAAGAAAACCCCATGGACAACATGGCCCATGGGTTCACAAAGAGCTGGATGTGACTGAACAACTAAACAATAACATTTCAGGGAAGCATTTTAGGCCCATCAAGGCTTAGCTCAAAATGAGTTCCTTGTTACTGGTCTTCCAGTGAAATCTGGATAATCAGTCCCTGTTGGAATAGTGTAGGAAGCATTCATGCTTTAGGGAAAGATTGGTCTAGCTGATCTCTGAGGTCCCTTTCAATCCTGTAATCCTGTGACTTTATGATCTACCAAAATTGCATTCATTCTCTCAGATTACCTGCAATTCTCTTCACAGAATCAAAGAATGTTCAGGTTGCAAGGGACCTTTACAATTATCTAGTTTCTTCCCCAATTTTTTCAGGTGAGGAAACTGAGGCCCAGGAATATCACTTGGCTTACTTATAGTAGAGTTAGCACTTTCCATTACGTAGTGTCCTGACAAGCAAAGCTTGAAAATATTAATGCTGCTCAGGATAGAGTTTATGGAGAAGAAGGCCTCCAAATTACAATGAGGTGTGTGGGGTTCTGGCAGGCTCTGAGATAATTTAACTAGTGGAGAGCTCTTATCTTAGGTCGCACAACCAATTTCCTTAGATTTTCATCCTGAGTTCCAGCAATGACTAATACCTGATACCGAAGAGGATGCTCACACACTCTGTAGCAGTTGTCTGGGAGCTTCAGGGTGTTGCTATTTCTCTCCATCCTTCCTGCTGTGATGTTGTGAAAGCAGAGAGTGAATTCAAATGCCACTCCTTGATGATTCTGACCCACTGTTTTCTCTCTATTTCAGAGAAGGAGGTCTGTTCGGCCCAAGAAACTTCTGAGTTTCCCAGACCCTTTTGGGCAGTTACTGCAGCTTTGTGTATCCTTGCTTTCTATAGCTTGTTAATGACAGTGGCTTTTTTAAACTGCTGGGTAAGAAATTATGTACTTGTCTTCAGTAATGTCAATGATACCACCCAACTACTGCTTTTGCCCTGGATCCTTCCCATGTTCCCAATTGGGCATGTGCCTTTGTAGGTGACCCTTACAATCTTTGAATGCTTCAAGTAGGCTTGAGAGAAGTAAGTTCTTCCCGATGAGAAGCAATATCTTGATCAGATTTCTCTGTGCCTCTAGATACTGATATAGATGACCAGGGAGTAAGGAGAGATACAGAGCATCCTGAGAATGTCCTTCCTACAGTCCACCCAAAGAGTAACCAGTTACTGGGCTAGGAACCATGTGAATTATCATTCAGATTGCTGCTTTGCCTTCACATCTAGCAAAGAAACGACATGAGTCTTATATGAGTCATGTTTTTTTTTTCTACCTCTGATGAGGTTTAATTGTTAGAGGCCAAGCTTTGAGCTATCATTATGAAACTACTGTAGTGGTTGTACTGACAGATGCCCCTCACCATTGGATCAGATTTTACTAACCCTAGCAAACCTTCAGGCAATGCAACAGAACTGGAGTGTCTTACTTTCTACTCCCCAGCATACAGACCACTCTAGAACTTTGCATAGACAAGCTAATAGCAATCAGGAACCACTTCATAATGGTCTTGCTTTTCCAACTCTGCATTGCTTCTATTCCCTTGTGTAGTTTTTAGAATCCTCTGGTACTTATTCATACCTTCTTCCATCCCTCCCCACCCCCCACTAACCTGGAAGTTCTGATCTCCTTCTAGAATAGGAACATACCTTCTACTCTTGTATTCCAGCTCTCCAAACCTAACACAATGCTGAGTATACAGAAGGTGCTAAATAAATGCCTCTGAATTAACTAATTCAGTGCCTTCACTGCCATCTCCAAATTGCCCTTAGTAGAAGAGCTGAATATACCTGCATGTTCCAGGTTAAATCCAGATTGTAGCCTACGGAAAAGAAAAAAACAAAAACAAAAATGCAGCTCTGGGCTTTACTGCCTCCATGTGCTGGATCAATTATTTTAAGAAAGAAAAGGCTTCCTTTGGAAGATACTTTTTAGCATATGTAATCATAGACATAGAGATGGGAAGAGGCTGGGGGTAGAAGTTATCTACCTTGACTCTTTCTTTTCACAAATGAAAAAAAAAAGAAACCACTGAGAGTGAGATAGATGAATGACCTCATGGAAGTCACACAAGAACTAAGTGGCAGAGGGAGGGAGGTGAACCCAGGTCCTTTGACTCCAAATATTCTTTCTACTGTGCCACTGCTTTGACTTTTCAGATTAGGGTTTCTGTTATATGTTTTCCCACCACACCATTGATGTGACAGCAGTTGTTGGAATACTCGCCTGGATCCATGGCACAACCCCAAAGGAGATGATATTTTAGGAAATGCTTCCAGGATTTTTGACTGATCCAAAGTTGAAACTACATCCTGGTTATCAGGTGCATTTAGAGATTACATGACCAGTGGGACCACTGATCGGGTTGTTATAAATGAGCGTATTTATAGAATTACAGTAACTGGCTGAGTTAGCACACCAATTAATAGGATGGCACAGTAGTTTGCTAAAGGATTCAGTAGAAGGTAAGCTACCCAAGGGCAGGGACTAATTTCATTCTTTATTTTTTGTATAGATACAACACTTACCATAGTGTCTAGTACACAAGAAGGAATAGGGACTAGACCTGAGATCTCATTGGTCTAGGGAACTCCCAGATGAGGAACTGGCTGAACCAATACCCACCACCATTTCCTCTTCAACTTTTAGTCTTAGAGTGTTGCCTTGAGCACTGAAAAGTTAAGTGATCATTTAGGTCATCTATATGCAAGGTGGGACTTGAACTTAGGTCTTTCTGGCTGACTCATTAGCCACAATTCCACTTTGCTTCTCAGCATACAGTAGGCACTCAATAAATGCTTGTTGAATTCAATTAAAGGTTCAAAGAGATTCATGCAAATAGTAATGAGCTGTTATATAGATAGCACCCTAAAGTTTATAAAGCCCTTACTTAAGTAGGATCTCACTTTCAGCTATAGAATACTTGAATCTGGCTCTGTAACTCACATGTTAATGGCATGGAAGAAGTCTAGCTGATTACAGCTCAGTCTGAGGAAAATCTATGGCAAAATGGAGCCGTGTCACACTGATCTCAAAGATTGGAAAGTGCAGACACTTGGCCTTAGAGAAGGGGCTGCCAAAATCCTTGGAGGTGATTCAGTCTCCCAGTGTCAATGTGCCCTTATTTGCATTTGATTCCTAAACCCTGATACCCACTGACAAATGTGGCAGAATGGAAAGCTCTCCGTGTCTCAAAGAATAACAATGCCACATTCAAGCTGATTGTCAAGAACAAAAATCAAATTTCCTAAAAAGTTAGAGTGATCTAAAAGTGGGAGGGGCTTTCAGGAGAGGTATGGCGCTCCCTCCATAGGACGACTTCAAGCAGAGGCTGCATATGCCTCTTCTCGGGGGAGACCATTAAGGGGCATCCTGGTTCGACTAGGAGTTGAACTAATTGTTGGAGGTGTCCTCCTACTCTGAGTAAGATTCAGTGAGTCTTCCTCAGACTCCAGGCCCAGGTTTCTTGATGAAGCCTTTCCTTGTTGCAAGGAAGCCCCTACTCACAACCAAAGTTGCATCATACTCTTCAAAATAAATAGATATTTTTTCAGTGAACAAAAGTTTATTTTCTCTCCCTCCCATCACTTTCTCCCATTAAAAAAAAAGAAAAACAAACAAACAAAAAACTCTTGAAAAAATATGTTGAATCAAAGAAAACAAATTCCTTCATTGACCATGTCCAAAAAGCACATGTCATGTACTTCTTACTACTCCTTCATGAGGGTAACTTATGGTATGATTGCTAGTGACTTGGTCTGAAGTGGGTTCTGGCTAAAGCTGCAATTCAGTAGCAAGAGTGCCCCTAAAGGCTCAGCAAGCTCTTAAGGACAGCTGCAGATTCATTCTTAGTTGTTGACCTGTGGCTGACATTTGAGTGTATACAACATAGCCCTCCCCCAGTCTGTCATAGGCCCACATCTGTTATCTTTGCTCACCCCTCCAATCACTCAGCTATGCAAACTCATTCCCCCATCTAAAGAAATCCATTATCGATGTGCTCCCAACATTAAATGACACAAAGAAAATGTAGATGATGTTTATGCTGAAGTCCCCCTTTTTAGATAACAATCATAGCCAGCATTTACATAGCGCTTTAAAGTTTGCAATGTGCTTTTCATATATTATCTCATTTGACCCTCAAAACAATCCTAGGAATAGGTGTTATCAATCCTCATTTTACAGATGAGTAAACTGAGGCATAAAAGATTAAATGATTGCCCAGGGTCACACAGATAGTATCTAAGGTTTGAATTCAGGTCTTCCAGATTCCAGGTCTAGCACTCTATGCATTTTGCTATCTAGCAATGGAAAGAGAACTGGATTTGGAGTCTGCTGACATGGATTTGAATCTTGGTTTTGATATTTATTTTGCTACCACTTAACCTTCTGGGACCACCATTCCTCATCTGCAAAATGAGTAGTTTTCATCATATCGCCTCTGAAATCCCTTCTTACTCTATGTTATAACAGTGTAGAGGTAGATTGTTACTTTCCTAGAAGTTGAGATGGGAGGGAGAGCCAGCTTAGCAAAATTTTAAAAGAAAGCTTGATATGTGGTAGGGAGATGGGGTGGAGGACAGGGGAGAACATTCTTATTTGGGGTTGCATGGGAGATGGACCCTGTGGCTGTTCCAGAATTTAGGAACTATGGTGGGTTGAGTTTTTCCAGGGAACTTTTAATTTATTAGAGTAGATTCAAGATATTAGAGCACATCCAGTCCAAGGTTGGCAGAATTCTTATTCATACACGTTTGCTTGCCTTGGAAAAAATATATATTTTCTGAATTTATGTATTCTTTTCTCTTGTAAATAAACCTTAGGAAAAGCAGACTTTGTTGACTGAAATGTGTGGTCATATAACTTCAATCAACTATGTCCTATATTCAGTGTTCACCATAGTGCTTTAGATGCAGGTGATTAATGCAGGCTTGCCGAAAGAACAAGATGCAGGATAGCTATCATGCAAAATCCTGATGGCACATATGTTTTCGCCTTTGCACTGAAGAAAACCACTGAATGAGCAGGTAAAGGCAGAGAGCATAATGGGTAGGTTTTTATTAGCAAGACTATGAAATGTGAAGTCATAAAAAAATGTCAAGACTTCCTGTATGCCTATAGGCACACACTTTATGTGCATCTACGTCTGTTTTTTGGCGATGGAGAGCTGTACGGAAGACTATAAACTCTGCAGTTGCATATGCCAGCTTGTGTGCATGTTCCAAGGTAGTTAATGACCCCATAGTCTGATTACACTTCCTCCTTCTGTGAGTGAGTACTTGAACTCTCAAAGGTGAGTAGATGATCTGCAAAAAGTTTTGGGGAACAGATCCAGAGGGCATCCATATTACATGCAATAGATCCATTCAGGTGACCCCTCCCCCCCAACCAGCTCAATGCTCACTTACCATCTCTTTACTTCTCTTGGGTTTCAATTCCCTGGTAATCAATTTTGTTCTATACTTCCTAGTCTGTAAATCATTCTCCTTGGTATCCAAAGCAGATGGAAGCAGAGGATACAGAAGAATTTTGAGATGGAGTTGGAGAGTAATTCACATTTAACGACCTTGAGTTGACCCTACTGGACAGGATAATGAACAATAATAGGTAGAAGTCACAGAGAGGCAGATTCTGAGTCAATATGAGGAAAATCTTCTGAATAATTAGAGCTGCCTCAAAGTGGAATGGGCCGCCAAATTTGGACGACATCCTTGGAAGTCTTCAAGTAGAACTGTATGACTGAATGTAAGGGATGGGATAGGGGGCAGTCTTGTTTCAAGAATAGATTGGACTTGACTTCTGAAGTTTTTTCCTATTCTGAGATGCCATGATTCTCAGACATATCCCTTTTATTTTCCAAGATGAGTGCTCTTTTTCTC